AGTCAATGAGTTTACACATTTATAAAGTACTGGGCTTCTTTTCCCCCCACTCTGACCCATAAACCTGCTGGCTTTTACTTCATTTACATATGAGGCATTGCTGTGAATGTTTTTCTGCAGTGATAAAGCATTAACACAAGCACATTATGAGCACAGATTAATAAAATATTAAAAAGCTGCATTGTGCTGTTTCGCCTCGTTTTAATCTTTTGACGACGTACCGACATCATTGCTCTCAGTGACTAAAAGGAGAAAGACCAAATTACCTCAGCGTCCTAGCACACCACGTATTGACTGTTGGACTGTACTTGCCCTGAGAAAATGGAGAGCTGTAATCTTCCATAATTCTTACCGGTACTGAAAATGGCTTTAGACAGGTGCTGAATACAAAATACAGGCACGCAGCCTGAGCAGCAGCAAAGCAACTTCGGTGCCTGCGGTCACATTGTGAGCATAACAAACATCCTCTCTTACACGCTATTCATTATCAATTGCTATAGGTACGCAAGTAACTTCGTGGAGAAGTGTATGGGTGATTGTGTCTCATACTGTGGGAGATAAATTTGAGCACAAACAAAGAAGAAAAGATTGCAAGCGGCGGCAATTTGCTTTGCTCTCCTTTCTGCACACACCAAACAAAAAGCAGCGGTCCAGTCATTTATGGCTCGATAACAGAAACATGGAGGAGAGAGATAAAAGAGAGACAGACTAACACAGCGGGAGGGAGAGAAATGGGGATGATACAACATTAATCTCTGTATATATATATGTGTGTGTGTGTGTGGGGGGGGGACTGTAAGTGTACTTCCCAAGGTCACTGCCGAGAGCTTGGAGGGAGGGGGAAAAAAATTAACAAGACCAGTGGACAATGACGTTAGCCCTGCAAGGAACATTACTCTTAAAGGGACAGCACGGGACACAGGTTTGCAGGGAAATTTAGACAAAAATTACACATTAAGGATGTTTCATGCTTTCATTTCAACTGGATTTAATTGATTCACAGTCATGCTGAGATCAAGGTGTTCCTGTGGAGGCAAAACTGTCCAAAAACAGAAGGAAATACAGGGAGAAAACATTATGAATATTCCACACAAAAGAAGAAAACAGCCAGAAGGAGAGCATTAGAACGCACAAACTGATCTACCCCCTGTAGTACACCACACACACTCTTTACAAGAGTATGGTAACCAATCCTGGCTGTACTCACATTGAAAAAGAGCAGGCGGTATCTCAGTACAAAGCCACTCAGGAGGTTTGAGGCAACAAAAAGCTTTTCATTAGTGAACTATAGACATGGGACAACTTGAAATGAAAAGGTCTAGCTTTGTCACTGTGCCCAGAGGAGACAATCCATCCCAGCAACACACCTACATAAACAGTTCTAGTTTTTCCCGCTGTCCTCAAAAGTGTTGTGGGTCGAAAAGTGGTCAGGAGGTTTGAGAAGAAAAGCACCTTTTTGTTGATGGAGGTGAGTCTCCAACCTGCTTTATCGTGAAGCCACCACCTGGCTGACAGCAGTCATTTCTCAGAGTCTTTAACTCGACTTCTTCCCTCTCATCCCTTCGCTGCCATTTCTGTCACATTTCTTATATAAAATCCTCTCTTTCTCATCTATTTTAGACTATGCTTCATGCAGCCTCTTGTGTTATATGCTTTTAATAGTCTCTTCCCTCTCTAACAAGTATGTCCACTTGCTTTGAACGTTGATATCTCAAGATTAAGAGGCGTCAGAGTAACAGCCACGTCCAAACGTGTGCTGCACACAACGCTGATGTCGTTGATAATGTTGTCATTAAGTCTGCGAAATCAGACATCAGTTTAATGCCAAAAGCCGTTTTAATTCTGAACAGATGGAAGCAGATGACTCGACCAGATGGTTAAAGCCACAACAATACAACTTTTTCATGTTCACAGCAGCCATCCAGTCTTTTCATTTAATCATTACGTTTCCCTCCCCATCATCACATCACCTTCTTCCCTTACTTTCTATATTTACCACCAGGGAGAACTGGAACAAGTTGACGACAAATATCTGAAAACTTGGCAGTTTTTTGTTTTTTTAAAATAGTTTGTTTTTTTTAAAAGGTACTGGGAAACAATATGTGGAATAATAGCAGCAAGTGTAGTGGCATAATACTTATAGAAAATTAAAGCCAGCATTTTTTAAAAACAGATGCAATACTTCAAGCTTTTCTAAGCACCTCAAATCCAGTCAACTTACTCTTTACACTAAACTCAAGATGAATGAATTTCACTTGTCAACTCTGCATTGAAAATGTCTTCAGAATGTTAATTCTGAGCCTGAAAAGTTATCTTTGCAAATTGTGACAGCTGCCAACTGCTCTAGCAAAGCTAATCACCCAAAATCCACAAAAGCTGACGCGTTCGTCTTTAGGCTAGTATTAGGGGTTGTTGATAAAAAGAGCTGGGCTCTGAGCCTGTAGCCTTAGTAGGCCATATTCTAAATGGGTGAAATGGTTAGCACCGTCATCCTGGTCGCAAGAAGGCTCTGGGTTCAGTCCACCTGGCATGCAATGGCCTTTCTGTGTGGAGTCACGTGTTTTCCAGGTACTCCAGCTCCCTTTCACAGTAAAGACATGCACGATAGGTTGATATCTGGTGATTCTAAACTGGCAGCAGGTTTGGATGTGTCTGTGTGTTTTTCCCAGTGACATCTGGGAGAGGCTCCAGTCCCCCGACCCATGACACCAAGGTGGATAAGGAGTTAGGAAAAATCAGTGGAATGTAAATAAATTTAATATTCATCTGAGGGGAAAAGAAAAGTGGAACTCTGCGCAGTTGATGCGTACAGCTGGGTTTCCACTAGGAAGGTTTTTAGTGCAGAGGGGTAGTGGATGTTAATAGAGAACTATGCATCTATAACTGTGCTGCCTGACTGATAAAAGCTTCATGCACCACAGGTCTCTGACAGTCTGATAATTCCCCATTTAAAGCTGAATAAGAGAGAAGTGTTGTTCCATTCTTTTCAAAGCAGTGCCCACTCAGTGTTAAATGTCCATTTTATACATCTCAACCTTAATATTTTATTTAAAAATTAAGGTGTACTGTGATTAAAGTGCAGACTTTCAGCTTTAATTAAAGGGGTTTAACAAAAATGTTCACATTAACAGCTTAAGGAATTACATTCATTTTTAAACACAGTATCCCATTTTCAGGAGAAGCTTCATGGCAAAGCAGGGCCTGTTCCTGTTCCCTTGTTATCATAAGCTGAATGCATAAAAGCTCTGGAGCTGATTCCAAGTGTTGAACTTGCATTCATGTCAGAAGGAGCCCATCATTGAGTTGCGGGGAAAAAAAAACCCAAACTTGAGCAGTTGCCAAATCAACAATATGGTGCACTCTTTAAAAAAAAAAACAAAAAAAAACCCACTGCACCGGTCAGCTCAGCAACACCCAAAGGCCTGAACATACTGCACACCACAAGTGCTATCTGTCAGCCTAGTAGACACACCGATGGTATCACTTTCAAAATCTTCTATTAGCTTGTTCTTGAGTTATCACAGTCAAGTTTTCATTTCAGTTTTCAATTTAAAAATCCCAGGTGACTTCCTTCTTGAATTATTGTATTCACAAGATTATAAATCTCTAAGTTTTGATCTCCTGAGATTTTAGTTGACACCCTTACTAACTGAACTTAGGTGCCCTAGCAGGGTGACAACAATACCCCATCAGCCTTTTTACAGCAAAGAAAAAAATCAAGAGACAAAAAAGAAAATGTTCTTTTTTCCCTGCTGTGGATGTGATATAACAGTAAAATGCTATGGATCTGTGTTTTGTTTTATTTTCTTCAGGGTTTGTTTGTTTTTTGTTTTTTTTTAAGAATAATTTAATAATTTCCTTTTTTTTTTTTCAGTTTTCAGAGTCTAAGTTGGCACAGAAATTTCTGGTATCATCTCTAATTCCCGTCTTCAAATCTTTAGATCAATAGAGGTACCTGTATAAAAAAACCCCACCACCACCAAAAAAAAACTGCTGCATTTGAGGACTGTAACACCAACTTGGTCCATTTCAGTTTCCTGAAGTTGGTATAAAGTGAACTAATGAATAATTCAGACTGAACTGCACACGGCATTACTTCTGAAAGCCATCTCGCTTAACTTTTAAGTGTAAAACTTCACACACTACCGTATATCTGTTAAAGACATTATACTAAAAATAATTCCTACAATTCTTATTGAATTTTACTCGCACTCGTGAAACAAAAAAGGTTGAGCCTTCATAAACAGCCCTTGTATTTACTTCTACAGTGACAGAAAAATTGCTATTACTGCTAAGAAAATGTTTTATGCAAACCTTGAGGAAAACAATATTTATACAAAAGTCACTTCAAGATTAACTCCGATTAAGAAAAGCAAAGCACTGAAGTGTAGAGGAAACACAGAGCTGTAGCTTCTCAGGTCAAACGCCATTTGTTAAAAAACAACTGTTTTTCACGCATCGCACCACAGAAAGCAACATAATGCATTTAAGCCAGAAACAAAAGTGTGTGTATGTTTATACATTTGCATATACAACATGACAAAAGGCCTCCACCTCTTCTTGCAACTGTTGCATGGACAGTCCTAGCATGACATCATCTATCCTGGCCTTCACATTGCATCCTCAATTTACCCTGCATCACACAACCTTCTAAGTGTATATACTACATATCCCTTATTTCCTGTCTTCATAGACGGTTGTAACACCCAGACTGATGCAAACAACAGACAGTAACATGGAAGCATGTGGCGTTTTCCATTTGATGCTTTTGAGCTTTTATTTTTCATGTTTGAAAGCTTGACATTTGTCTTTTGCTCTCTGGGGAAACTGCTTCAAAACTGCACAAGCAGCAGCAAAAACGGTGTAAATCAGAAAAGCAACTAGTCAGCATGGTTGCAGAACTGTCTGTATCAGTTCCAATAATATCCAAGCCACAGCACACATACAGCACCACATCTATGACACCACTCTTCCCCTTTATGTGCCTGTGTTCGACTGACCTGAGAGTAGAAATTAGCCATAGTCGTGGTTTCTATGTCTTTCTTTCCAATTATTTCCATTTTCACCGGAGCCGACGGAAACTTGGTTGAGAAGTAGTCCAAAAAGTCCGGCAGGTACTTGGCTTCTCCGTGGACGATTCCCATGACATAACGAGCAGCCTGCAAAACAGGCAGCAGTTTTAATTTAGATCAAGATGATGGTTTAGGAAAAGGATTTTAAATTACTAGTCTAAAAGTTTAAGTATAAATGAGGGATGCACCAATCCAATTCATTTGATCACAGATATGCTACAAATACCCAAAGTACTGATCTGATGCCATTATGAAATTAATAATGTTGAGTCGTCACTATAGGAAAAGATTGCAATTTATTCTTTTATGGTTAAAGATATGGGAGTAGTTGGCAACCCCCTGGCAACTAAAAATCCTATAACAACCACTAAATGACTGAAAGTGGTATCAAGGATAACAGATTTTTCCCTAGCAACCAGTGGCTGTCAGGAGATAACTGACTGGTCTCTGAGCATCTGTGACGGTTTTAGGCAACAAGTCTAAACTACAAACTCACGAAAAAATAAATACATAAATTAATAAATCCAAGACTATATATTAACTGAACTGCTATTTATTAGTGAAATAACAGCTTTTCTGTCATGTGAAAGCCCTTGACAAAGTTCAGTTTGTAGTCAAGTAAAAAACTTTTGCAATCAAAGAAGAGAAAAGCTGTAAACACACAAAAAGGTCAAGCTTCAAGCTCTCACTTTTCATTCACATTATGAAAATATCTGACTGAATCCTGCCTAACCCATCTGAATAGATCAGTGCATCCCCCGTCTACATAACTTAAAGGGTAAAGAAAAACAGTGTTTTTAATTAAACGTAGTCAGCAGCAGGTGCTACACTGCAGCTGCAAACAACACTGCACTGAACTCAACATTCAAAGATCAATCTGATCAATACACATGCTGCACCTGGGACGCGTCCTCACTGAACACCAACGTGACAAACTCCTGAGCAAACCTTTCCCTCTGGTCCACTGAGAGAGAGGAGAGCTGCGACGTGTAGGCGTGAGCCACTAAGGCGCCTCCGTTAGGCTGGTTTTCTACGTGAATGTACGAAGCAAACTCCAGATCCGCCATACCGGGATACGAGCATTGCGGTTGGTGTTTGGTTGGGGAGGAAAGAGGTGACGTGGTGGACGACAACGGAGAGTTAAGTGAGTTGTGAAGAGAGTTCAGGTGAGATTTCGAAGGAGAGGAGGGCGGGAGATGGGAGCTTTTGTTGTTAGGTGGAGGATAAACAGGTAGAGGGGACTTAAATAAAGATAGGGAGGAGTCGTGTTTTATTTCAGAGGGGGACGAAGACGAGGTGGGGGACGTGGAGGAGGGAGGGAGGAGAAGCAGGCCAGCACAGATGGTTTGGCAGGACCGGTGGTACATCTTCACATGCTTGTGCTTCTCCCCTTCTTTGTGTTTCTTCTTCTTTTTCTTCTTCACTTTTTTGATTTGCAGCTCCTCTGAGTTGATCTTGGCTTTCTCTTTGTCATCTGGACAGAGCAACAGAAAGAGAGAGAGAGAGAGGGGAGAAAGGCACTATTGAAGGATTTTTGTGCAATACCACAAAATAAGAAGAAACCCAGCTCTGAAGAGGCTTTCATGACAGATTTGTTAGAATCCATCATGTGTTATTTGATGCACAGTGGATCAACAAACTCTCCCAGCTCCCTGCTGTGAGAATAGATTTCTCCAAAGTCCTTCTAGAAGCACGTCTTGCTTCTAGAAGCAGCAATCTTAAAATGCCAGGAGGCACGTTTATTGATGCATCATCTGAATTAACTTTAATTTCAGTGGTCACTGAGAAATAAATGCGCGAGTTATCAGTCAAACGTGATAAAACCCACATCAAAACTTGGCTGACTTTGCCCCAAAACCCCTTTCTCCTGAAGTTATACTTCAATTGCCACCTGCGCCGTTGCAGAGTCCTCCTATAGTTTTCTATCCGAGCTTTGAATGCCGTGTGTCTCTTATGTCACTAAATAAGTGAAATCAGTCTTCTTGCAATAACTGCAGCTCTGAAAATGCAAGTAAAATAAAGTGAAGGGGTGGAAAAATGGAGGCTAGAAGGAGTGAGGTTCTGAAAACAGGTTAAAAAAAAGAAAGACAGTAAAATTAAAAGCTTTACTCAGATTTTTGTTATTATTGATTTTAAAGTGTCTAATAATAAACACATTCAGGTACACATTTAATGCCCTACAAACAAAACAACTGAGAATAATGAGTACTAACTGTTTTAAGCAGATGACTCACTGCAAGTTTTCCCCCAGTTGGCATATCTCCTGAGGTGTATGCATAAAATAAAGTGAAGAACATTGAAACTAAATCCCTTGAGAAAAGCAGATATGACTAAGCCAGGAAGCACACTCTCCAGTGGCATATTTGCAAAGACATAATACCGTACATGGCAGTCCATCTCTTCAACGCCTCAGGCAGGACAACATGGAACATGCAAATTTATGCAAAGTGCTACTGTATCTGTTTGTCTATGTGTGAGTGTGTGTGTGTGTGTGTCAAAGCATGACAATTTGGATACATGTTGCTTTCTAGTTTCTGATTCCACAGTTATTGTGTAAACACATGGACGCATATGCATTTACAGTCATGATGACAGTGGTGCTGCTGCCCTCACCTCACTAACGCCCATGCACAAATACACAGCTTTAGTCTAGTGTGTACCCCACACAAGTTCAATGCCACACAAGAAAGGAGGGAGACAGAAGAAAGCACAGTGGGAGTGGGGGTATTTGCAGTACAATAGCTGAGCTACTAATCCAAAAGCGCTTTAACCCATAGTCACCCTCCCCCAATTCCCTGTACACCCAAACAGACGTTTATTCCTTCAACCTCCATCAAATCACAGATGAAGCAAGTTCAACATACCCAGGATTAGGGCTGCCACAAACGATTATTTTGATAGTCGACTAGTCACAAACGATTATTTTGATAGTCGACTAGTCACCGATTATTTTTGCGATTAGTCGACTAATCAGATCATCATCCATTGGACGTACAGCGTACAGCTTATTGCACCAGCAGCATCTGGTCTTATATAACTATCATTAGCTTACAGCTTTAAGTGTTTGTGCTAACTAAAAATAAAAACAAGATGGTAGTTTATTAATTTTTAATGAAATTTGCAGATTGTTTCGGTGAAGTTTAATAAAGTCCTTGCTTTCTAAAATATAACAGGACACCGGAGTATATTCTCCAGCGTCTCACACTTCTGATAATCAGCTGTCTGCTTGACAGTTTTAGCTGTGCAAAAACTATAACTTTAATCTCAGCCAAACCGATTTACTCAGGAACAAATAAAATACTAAAGAAAGCCAAACAATAACATTTTTAAGTTATCTAAGTGGCTTATATATATGTTTAACCTGACTAGCGAAAGACGGCGGTGGGTTTGAAAACGATTTGCTGGGAGTCCGGTGTTCTCACGGCTCTAGTTAGCCTTGCCCCCGCCTAGCTAACGAGCTAGTGGGTAACAGACGTCTCCGAAAACGTCGGAGCGCTTTTGAAAATACGTGGTGTCTTGATAAACTGAGCAGATATTTGAGGTTTACACAGCTACATTCTCGCCTGAAAATATGTTAAAGGTTTATTTTGTGACCCAGAAAGAATAATAAGAGTAAAGTTAAAACTAACTAGCTGCCGCCATTGTTGACGGCCGCGCTATGAATTCTGGGACACAGCTTCTTCTTCTTCGGGGTTTAATGGCAGCTGGCATCCTTGTACATGCAGTGCTGCCATCTTCTGTTTCAGTCCGTTATTACACTCTTAAATCCTACTACTCATTCCTGCGTCCTTTGTGATCTTACAAAGCTTCAAACGATGCGTATGTCGATTTTAATAGTCGACTTAATCGTGACTAGTCGACTAATCGTGGCAGCCCTACCCAGGATCTCTTTCTGTGATCTGGCTTCACTTACCCCGATGTCAGGCTAAGCAGTCACACAAAGGCGGTTATCAACTGGATAACTGAACCCAGGGTTTCCCAATCTAGCTACACATGAACGAGGCGGTGTTGGCAGCGTGTGACCAATCACAAACATGGAGAGGCCAACCGGCAGCACAGCGGAATATTTTACCTATAACATTAAAACAAGTGTGAAGTGATTGCTGAAGGCAGCAAAGCTGCTGTTACCTAAACAGCAGTGTGATTGATAGAAAAAGCACTGTACAGTGAGTGTAGTACTACAAAGCTCTGTCTGAATGTGTGCACTCTAAAAGCTTTAGTCAACAAGACTTAAAGTGCTATGCCAGCTATGTAAGTTTACCAGTTTCACTGGGTCTATCTTTAATACGCCGGAGAATGTGACAGTTATGATCATGTCATAACACTGTATACAAGGTTACAGTAATATGAAACCATTTTAAAATTGCTTACAGCCAATAGTAAGAAAAAAAGCAAAGCTATATTAATGCTCTTTAGTGAGACACAAAAACATCCACGGTCAAAAGGTCCCAGAGATCATCCAGGAAATAGCCTATTATTTTCCAGACAACTGATTGGTCATTAGGTGGTGATTTTGTACCTTTCAGTCTTTTATCTGGAATATAGCCTGCTTTGAAGCACATTCAGTGTGCTTCATTGTTTATCGTACCAACGCTGAAAGTGTCTATAAATGAATATAACCTATTTTTCTGAAAAATTATAATATATACTTGATTTAAATAAATAAATAAATAAAATAAGGCCTTAAAAATGAAAATCATAATAGACAAATGGAGTTGCTGCAACATGTTGCCACTTGAAAACATGTTTTGTCTGGTTTTAAATCTTCTCTGGATTATAAAACTCAATTCAATACTGTTTTATTTTACAACAGTTGCCTCAAGGTCCTCTGTATAGCAAGGAAAGAGCCTACAAATTTTCCAAAGAAAAAAGCCCAACAATCACATTGGAGTAAACACTTGGCAATAATGGGAAGGAAAAAACTCCCTTTTAACAGGAAGAGCAACAAATATCTTGTTAAAGGAATACAGTTCACAGCATTTCTATTTGTGATCTGTAAAGGGGAACAAGGATCTACACTTCTATCAGAAACCAATAAAAAACTGTTTCAACTGTATAATATTTACTTGATAGTACAAACAGTTGATGGCCCAACTGTCTTTTGTTCATTTTATGTGTACCCTGATGAAGGCTACAGGTCAAACACATTGGTAAAGTAATAAAGTTGTTCTTCAAACTACAAGTGTTGTTCGACCTTCAACCCAGAAAGTTGGAAGCAGGTGAATTTATGCCATAAACATCTACTCTACACAACAGTCTATGTTACCAAGTCAGCCGCCTATTTCTGCAAATTTTACAAAGAACAAGTTATTGTGCTCCTTCTTTCTATTTGGCTTAAAACCAACATGCTCCCACTGGTGATGTTTTGGCTTAACAGCTAAATCCATGCTGTTAATTCTCAACAGCTGCTTATTGCAGTGCAGCCGGCGCAATAGTTTAACTTGATCACCTTGAAGTGCCATTAATAGAAGAGGGCAAAACTGGTGAAAAACAACATGAAAATAGTGATGTCATTTCATCCAGCTGTGTTTAAAGAGGTACAATTAGTCAGCTGAAATTATTATGATCAGGTGATTGTGAAGTAAATGTGACAGGCTTATTATTACGTGCCAAACATAAAAAAAAATCTTGTATCAGTCAGGCTTGTTGCATTCATTACTGTAGAAAATCACATTATATCTAGGGTAAAATACATTTTCCTGAAATAACCAACGAACTAAATCATTAGACTTAATTTGATCTGCTAACAACCAGTTTTAATTATCCGTTATAATAGGTCTACTTGCTCAGCCATTGGAAGCTGCTCTAAAAAAATTAAAATTGTAACTTAATATTGCACATACATGTTCACTCTGCTGATGACTTTTCCTGGGCAAAAACTGCAACTTCCCTTTTGTTTATACACAAACAAATGCATAGTTGGACCATTTGGCTGGATGGTCATGATCAGTTTATGGTCAGATAAATTCCCACTCAAATAAACACACACACAGACCCACTATCAAACAGCCTCACTGGCAGTAAAGCAGACTTACTGTCAGAATGGTCATTTGCTGCTTATTGATTTCCTATACACGTTTCCACTGGCTGCCCCTCTCTCTCCTGGTCGTCCTTTTCAATTGTAAACTTAACACTCTCTCACTGATTAAATTTCTAACTTTCACTCCCGGTCTCTCTGTCACTGTAATACCCTCTGATTAAATGCCACACTCACTATTACAGAAAACCTTCTCTCTGGTGGGGAGAGCCCCCCCTGCCCCGCCTCAAAAATCTAATCGCAGGTTTCAGTGCGTCCCTTAAATAAGTGATTAAATAGCGGACTCTCTCACAGGACGGCTGCAGGATTAACACATGCCTCTTGCTCTCAGTCCAGTCTTTTCTTAACTCTACCCTCATAATGAGGGAATGAACCAGCATTACTAGGAAGTGTGGCCTTTTGACAGAAAATGGGAAGATTGAAATAGTGCACCAATTTATCCGTCTGTAATTTCCATCTGCAGCCACTGGTCACATTATGTGCCCAAAGCACAGCTAAGTCCTTGAAATGTCACAGCGGGGTCGTGACATACCATAACAAACTCCCCCAGAGCTCTCCAGCAAATCAAATCAATTGAAGTAAAATTGGCATTCACACGTGTCAATAAGTGGTTTGTGCGTATGAGCCTGTGTCACCCTTTATTTAAAAAAAAAAAAAGAGTGGGATGGGGTGGATCTTAAAAAGCAAAACATCCCTGTTGATAAACGGCTGAACTCAGATTACTCGCGCACAGTTAGGTGGAGATTATGATCACAGCGCTCTGCAAATAATTCACTACTGTCAAAAGGTTAACAATGAAAGTCGCCGCTGCACCGCATTGATAAGGTGTGCACGCACACGCACACAGGTGATGCCTGACTTCATCACCAGCAGGGTTGCATCAATAATGGATGCAGACAAGTGTTTAAAGAAAACCGCCATCTTAACGTATACAAAACTGAACAACAAAAGAAATGTGTTTAAGAGCAAAAATATATTTTTCTCATCATTCTAAGAAGATCTGTGACAAGAATATTTAAAAGTTTGATCTAGATAATCACCCATCAGTCACACTCTAATAAACAGGAAGTTAAAACCATGCCTGACAACAGAAACAAGCACAGAAAGGCAATTACATGAGAGAGTAACAAAGCTAAACATATTTAGGGTTGCAACAATTAATCATATTAAAATGAGTTGGGGGTTTTGTCAATTGTTTTAATTAACTATAATATAAAAAGACAACCACTTTAAGTTTTCTATTTCTGGGACAAGAAAATGGATTTTGAAGAGGGCCAATCACACTCAAGTTTTGCTTGAGCTGCTTATAATTTTTGCTTTGATCTTATACCAGGCCTGTGTGAGACCAATCAGTTCATCTACTGTCAGAAACTAACCATTTTGGCTCCCTTTCTTCCCCCTTTAAGCCATCTTTCTTTTCATTGGCTGCCTATCCCAAACTGAAATTTATATTGGCTATATATAATAATGATAATAGATTACATTTATATAGCGCTTTTCTAGACACTCAAAGCGCTATATATACACATCAAAATATGTTTACAGGAGATGGGATTTAATATAATCTGGTATTTAGCTGTGCTGATGCATCTAATCAAACAACTGTGTGACATGCGTATAGTAACGAATAGGTCATACACTCGCCTTCGTGATCACCATCTAATCCTTTATGACCATCTCCCTGAAGATGATCATCTTCAGACCATCTGCTGCTCAACACAGAAGCTACCATTAATGTGCTGCTCTTATTTCTTTGGTGTTTGTGTTTTTTTTTTTTAATTCAATATAAAATAAGGTCAATACAGCATGTAAGCTGCTGGCTTTGGGAACGTGGAAAAGCATTAAAAGTAGCATGAACACAGTCAGGTAATTGCATATTTTAAAAAAACAACAACAAAGTGATTTTGGCCTTCCAACAAAGAACCAACATTTTTTTTCAATATTTAATAAAGTTTAATCAAACTTGATATACATTTTTGTTTATCAAATGGGTAGTTAACAGGAAAATGTATGCAAAACTACATGAGGACTTGTTGTGTTTACACACAGCCTTCCCCTCAAAGGCTCATTTAACCCAGGAAAAGCCCTGATCAATGACACAAAAAAAAGAGGATTTTCAAACTGAAATTACAGTCAGGACCTTTATATGGAACAATATTTGGAGCTTTTTTATTCTGTTTGGACTTTTAAAAACACAAAAATAAGACTGCACATAAACAGAGCTACTGTAAAACATGTACTCTAATGGTCAAACATTAAAGAATCACATCAGAAATACTTATTTAAACCAACCTGAGAACAAGAGCAGGCAGAAATAAACACCAATAAAGCTACAAAGATTATAAAAGACGACGAACTAGCAGAGACAAAGGGAGCAAGAAATGGGAACAGGAGGGGATGACAGACTGTGAAGACTCTCAGCTTCTCCTATTACAACCACTGCTGCCTTAATTCAATAAACCATAAGGGCTAAATAAACCATAGGCACCATCTCTACATGTGAGGAGCAGCAAAGTGCAAAGGTCAACCTAACACCAGGGATCAAGTTCTCAGTGAAAATAAAAGGTTGTAACTCTGGTCACACTTGAAGAGTTCAGCCATGACAGCTACAGTGCTAAACTGGACCTTTTCTAGCACACTGGTAGAATTCTTTTTCTGTTTTTACCCTAACACCCACTGGGATGCTGAGCAGTTGTGTATGCAGCTTGTACATTGGAAACATAATGATGATTTACTGTACAGCGCACTGTGGAAGTGGGTCATGTTTGGTTACCTTAGCAGCAGATCTGAGCTCCATTTGTATATGGAAAAAACTGTATTTATGACTCAATGCTATGCTACTGCAACATGTGTGATGTGTTTTATTTGCATGGTTTTTGTTTCATTTATTGCACACAACACACTTACGTTTGTAGTTGTAGTTTACTTTTATTTTAGTAGTTATATTTTCTGCCAGCAGCAGCAAATTAAACGCTGATCCATTTTAATGTGCAACTTTCTCTAATAATAGAAAGAATCATTTAATTCATCTCTATAAAAGTCACTTAGTATGCATGTGCGCAAGTTTACACCAACCTTTAATCGGCTGCTTGACTTCTCCATTCTCCCTCTTGATCTCATTCATCACTTTGTGCTTCTTCTTCTCCTTTTCTTTCTCTCGCTCTTTGACCTTCTTCTTCTCCCTCTCCTCTCGCTCCCTCTCCTTCGCCTTGTCCTTGGTGGAGTGATCTGTGGAAGCAGTGAGCAACGTTTCATGTCTCGATGGTGAAAGCACATTAGCATAAGATCTCAGATGTACCCCCACGCAAGCATGTACACAGATGTTTGAGTGCACTTTGCTCGCTCCGATTTGCTTCTCTAACAGCTCACCTGTTCTCTTGCCAAGCCCTTCACCTTTGCTATCACTCTTGACTTTTAATTTTGTTGATCTTTCCTCTACAAATGTTTTTAACCTACTATGAAAGGGAAAAAAAAAAATCATCCCATCGCCAAACCCATACTTTTATCTAAGCCCTGCAATGACCTTCCCTTTGAGAATGCAGCAGCCGCTCTGCAACTTCACTCAAAACAGCACAGTTTCATGAAGACACACCTCATCCCCAAAAAATGTAACCCTCTACTATCATTAATATGTTCCCATTTAATTTTAAAAGTCCTAAAATCCTCTCTTTGCTTTTCAGCTTCTTTTCTTTTCCTTTTCCTGCACGTCTCCATCTGAGTGTTGAGCAAGTGTAGCACATTGAGGAATTGGAGTGCGCTCTAATGCAACGCTCAGTGCAAATCGCTGCGGATGAGAGCATCAGTTTTAAAATGTCAGTATTACATGCACACACCTTTTTAGCTGGATTGTTGGAAAGCTTTCGGAAAGGTGTGTTTAAGTGTGAGGCACCCCGGCAAACAGACATTTATTCTTTAAATCTGCACGTCTCCCCTCCAGCTGAGCTAAAAACCCTTACCCATCTTCAAATAACCCTCGTTTTATACATTTTTGTATTCCTTGATTTGCTTTATATTTTTTAATTTCCTCATGAAAAAAAATCCTTTGTGTTTTCCATAGTGTTATTTTGTCCATTCCTTCTTTTCCTTCCCAGAGAACTTTTTTCCCCCCTTTGAACTCAGTCGGATCCATCTTTGAAAGGAAGCCGTGTTTTCAGACTGTTCACTCTTCTGTGGATGTAGGGAGTGGGAAAGTGAACACAGTGTGGTTGCACTCCCTGTTTGTGGGATCAAAGGAGAAAAAAAGCTTTCAAAGTAAAAAGGCTTATAGGAGCATTAGGAGAATTAGATGTACATTGATACATTTTTCCATCATAGTACTTAAATACATTTCAGCAGACTGTTTTGCTTTTGCTACTTAAGACGCAGGTGATCATGCTCCTCATAGCTTGTGGTGAATAGTGGAATGCCAAGGATGTCAACGTTCCCTATGCAAAAGAAATGCTGCTAAATTACTAGACAGTGTAAGCTGCCTAGTGGAAAAAAACAGCACGTCTCAAAACGACAATTTAGCTCCACAGGAAACAGCCTACAAAGGAGCGCTCACTCAGATCTGTTGCCAGATTTATAAAAACATGTAAGGCCATGCCAGAGCAGTAACATTCATAAGCCTTAACTTTAGAGGAAATGGCAGTAAATTAGTCCAGGTGGCTGATGTGAACTGAAAATATACAGTGAAGCATGTTGATTTCTCTCACCTCGAGAGAAGGGGCTTTCCCATGAAATAAAGAAAATAACAGGGTGAAACCAGGGTTTTAACTGATGACACGATCCGAGAAAAGATGTCAAGGCTTCGATGGTCACAAGTTCTAAAGCTAAGTTCATATTTCCAGGGCAAAACAGCACAAAACTAGAGATCTGAATGAATTTGAAATGAACGGTATCCATGTGACTGAAGCATGTTTTCTTCCCCCTCTTCATTCCGTTTTCTGATTTTCTAGCAGCAGCCAGTTAGGACGGGAAACACAGCAGGTAGTTTTCACGGTTTGGATGATCACAGGAGAGATAAAAACTTTGAAAGACAGAGAGCCAGAGGCCGGCAGTTAGTAAACTTCAACGACGCAACCACTCATCTATATCTCATTTCTTCTTATCAAGAAAAATTACGCCTAAATAAAAATTATCAGAAAATATAAAAAATGTGCATTCTGACATTTTAAAGTTGTTACATTTCAAAGGGAACCCCAGATCCCTCCAATTGTCTGCCATTAAAAATTAAGTAGCAATAACAAAGCATAATTTATAGTTTCAACATCAAAAGTGCACCAGCTTAATGCCCATATTTACCCGCTAGCTGCTAATTCACATGATAAAAAGTGCATTTTGGGTAAATTTTAAACAGTCATATCACCATTAGTGATAGGTGGCTTATTATGTTAAAGGTCTGCTTTATACTGCCATTATGATACCAGGCTTATCCTCTAGCCAAGGTTTCTCTTGTGGCAAAATCATTTTCGAATACAGGCCAAAGTTTCATTTGAGGTTCTATTTACTTGGGAAAGGTGTCACAGTGGTCCAGTGGTAAGTAATGTCACTTCACAGCAAGAAGGTTCCACCCAGCTGCAGACTTTCCATGCATGCATGTTTTTTGCTCATTTGTCGTCTCGTCTCCCTGTGCCTGTGTGGGCTCCCTAAGGATACCCCAGTTCCTTTCACAGTCCAAAGACATGCTTGTTAGGTTAACTGGTGATTCTGGGATTGGATATCAGTGTAACAGTGAGGCTGCGTCCACACAAGAAACTATCGGCAGCAACCTGGCAACCCCAAGAAGTCAATGACTTCAACAACATATGGGAGGGGAAAAAAGAAAAAGAAAAAAAGAAGATCATTCTAGATATAAAACTTTTCTCAACAGAAACTACCAGTGAGACTGCAGGATACTGCTGATTGACATTAGGGCTGCCACGATTAGTCGACTAGTCACGATTATGTCGACTATTAAAATCGTCGACGACTAATTTAATAGTTATATAAGTTATATAAGACCAGATGCTGCTGGTGCAATAAGCTGTACGCTGTACGTCCAATGGATGATGATCTGATTAGTCGACTAATCGCAAAAATAATCGGTGACTAGTCAACTATCAAAATAATCGTTTGTGGCAGCCCTAATTGACATATGACATGGTAGTAAATACATTAGAGGCTTACCTAGGCAACGAGTGGCCATTGCCCAAGGATACGCTACCATTGGTGTCACTATCTAAAGCCTGGAATGTCTACATATCTACCAGCCGGTAACTTACTGTAGAGGGATGGGCTTCTTCTTCATCTGTTCATTGTGCTTTTTTCTTTGTTGGGGGGGATGGGGGTGGTAATTAACAAGACCATGCAAATCTTGTTTTTTCTGGAAGAATCTGAGGCCTTCAAAGATTAGACACACTGAGCTCTCCACTGTGAACAACACAGTTTGAGCAGAATTTTCATGTGAAAATGTGCTGGAGACTTGCAAGCTCACATTTTCAGCAGTAAACATGCTCTCTGTGAGATGCTGAGCATAATGGGAAGAAGAAAAAAACTTGCCCAAGGCCAAGCATGTGTTCATATTTTAAGGAGAAAAAAAATCAAAATGCAAAACACTGTAACAGGGAGCTCAGCATTTTATCAGTTTCCCATCAGTATATACATGTACTGCAACTGTAAATACGGTTGCAGTACATGTTAAAATGAAGGCGATTTTAATAGAAAAAATACATGATATGTGTGAAACTAGCTGTTAAATCTAAGCATGATCAAAAAACATTAAAGAAAAAAAAAATCACTGCAGGGCTGCAGGTACACTCGTCTCTCAGGAAAATCCTGCTACTCCAGATGGTCAGTCCACCCCTGCTGGTGTGGCAAATCCATGCTTCACCAACCAAAATGATTTAGCAATAGGACTCATACAGTGTTTGTCATTGTATTGGCAATGCACACGCTGTGCTAAGGATCTTGCCATTTTTTTCTGAGGAAAAAATACAAATTTAAAAAAAAAAAATAGCCAAGAGAAACTTAATTGGGCGATGATGGTAGTTAAGCTTCATTTTCTCCTCAGTGTAATTCAGATGTGCAGCTCCAGACATATTTGGTGGTTCTTTAAGCATGGTAAATTTACATCCACACAATAAACTAATTATGGGCTTTTAACAGTAGATAGAAATGCAGAGAAGTCAAAGCTACAACACAAAACAACCGTAACACTTGCCAAAAACAGAACTGGTTACATGAATTTTAATCTCTGCATTATGCAGCACAAGTGTCTGAATGGGCATAATATTAGGCTTTTGCACAAACAGCTACACTTAAGGACTTGATAATATTCTTGCTTCTGCATATTAAAATGGAAACAGACCGGAATTATGCTTTTAATATCACTATAAAATTGCAAAAGGTAATGACGAATTAATATCTACAGAATCTGCTCTCAAATTTGTTGACTGTAAGCATTGATGGTCTAAAGCTCCCACTAAATGAAGCTTCAATTATTCAATCAATAGAAAGAGAACAGCACTTTTGCTTTTTCCGTTAACAATGGTTAGTATTAACAAAGGCAAGTTTGGAGACTCTAGCTGGTAAAAAAAACAAAAAACAAAAAAAACCGAGTAAACAGCAACTACATGATCTGAGATCAGCAGCAAGCAAAGCCTGTCTGGTTATAAGCCCAATAAAACCAAGGTAAAACATCAGCTACTGCTACTTGAGAGAGGCTCGCTGACAAATCATGGCCGGTGGTAACATTTTGTGCAGCACTACAGTAAACTTCATTTATCAACAGTTCATGTCATCCTGTGATATAGCAGTGCAGAACAAGAATTTCAATTCAGTTAGTGGCGGGTAATGTACTCGATGATTAAATAACATACAAGTACCAGCTAATATACCTACTATAGCTTCTCAAAGGCTTCTTAATGTACAGTTTGTTTGGCTGCAAATACCTCCTGGCATAAAGTGCTGGAAAGATGAAGCCTTTCAACTTCTTATCCTCGTTGCTTGTGGTATTAATTATGTGACACAACAATTAATGAAAGCAACTCTCTGTAGTAGGTCTTGGAACTGAGCAGAGAGACTGAGAATGAAGAGAAGAGACTGGAAGCACATCTGAAGAGGAGAGCTACGTCTGCTGTTTGGAGGTTTTTAAAAATAAAAATTGGTATTGACGTCATTTTTGTGCAACATTTTCTTTGTATACTGGAATGCTTTCACTGGAACTTGGTCATGAAAACTCTGAGAACCTCTGATTATGGCTAAATGTATTCGACAAACTGCATTTGCAATATCAAACTGTGTGTAAATATAACAACAGCTCAGAAGGCTGCATAAATACCTTACACAAGGTCAAACTTGATTTGCAACTAGCTCGACTTCCCAATTATACCTACAGCTTAAAAATTCCCTTTTCTTGGTCTACTGCTCACTGCACTTTGTCTGACTCATGTATCCTATTTCAGCATCAAATGTAACTGGCAGTCACAGCTCCCTGGCACTTGCTTTTGCCACTAATAATATTACCATGACGATGTGATACTCTTTGGATCCCTGTAGGAAAGATTCTTTCCTTGCAGGAAGGTCAGAGCATAAATTGGCCTCAAATACATGTCCTTCCGCAGAACAGCAATCTTGTCAATTTTCTCATTTTGTTTAGAATTAATGTACATTTTGAGCTCCACATTCACATTCACACACTTCCTCATCTTCGACTTAATATAATTACAGTCTCCTACTGCTGGCCATTGAGCAACTCACTAAAGCAATTAGAGGTTCAGTGCTTTACTCAAGAGCACCTCAGTGAAACTGTTGCAGGAGCGGTTTTAGTTATCACTACTAAAGGCTGCATCTATATTTAGCCAGTCAGGTCCAGAAATGAAAATCATAAGCTGCACTAAGTGACTTTAAGTGGTATAACTGCCTAATGGAAAATATTCATTACAGAGTTTGGGGTGAAAATGACACATTATCTGCAAAGCAAATCATGTGATGTTTTGTGGGTAATCGTTAAAGCCACATCTATGTGTTTTAAATAAAACGCTGCCACCAGCCACATATTTACATGAACATATTAAAGTTGCACTCAGCGCAGCCTGTTTACAAGACTGCGTGTCTCAAAGTGTTTAGGGCTACAGGCCAACAACACGTTTCCTTCTGGTACCCTAATTGTTTGCGGTGACTGTTCAGAGTATGTCATGATCTCTTAAACTACCCAACTGGAAAAGGGTGACATCATGCAATCACATGTGCCCACCCTTTCTAGTGTCTAAACATTTAACAAGTGAATACATGTCCACACATTGGCAAGCACAAATGTGCATATGCATGGGTTTTGGCACGATGCTTTGGTGTGACAAAAGGATGCTGATAATAAATATTTGCATACTGACTTCTTGGTGTTTTTTGCATATTTGTCAAACTTATGTTTGAGATGATTAAACAAATTTTAAATGTTAGACAATGATAACCTGAGAAAATACAAAATTAGGTTTTATAATAATTTCACTGATTAGAGGAAATCAACAACAATAAAAAACAAAACAAAAAAAAACAATCAAACACAAAAAAATGCCCAAAAAGCTAACAACTCTCCAAACCTACCTGTGGAAGAAAATAATGCCTTGTGAACTTAATAACGGGTTATGTCACCCACCGCAGCAAGAACTGCGATCAAGTATTTACAATAACCAGCAATGAGTGTTTTATATCGCTGTGGGGAAATTTGGGCTCACTCTTTGCAGAATTTTTCTTTTTTTTTTTAATTCAACCACAATGGAGGGGTTTTTTGTTTTTTTTTGTTTTTTTTTACCATGAACGACCTGTTTAAGGTCATTCCAAAGATTCTTAAACTGATTTTCTTTACAACTGAATGAGCTTATCACCGATCAATTATGGGATGTCACCCAGGTCCTGAAGCAACAAAGCAGCTCCAGACCATCACCATCATTTAAGTGATTTCTTGTTTTCAAAGCTCTGGAAGTGATCGAGCCTGCTTTTAATTATGATTTAACAAGGAGGGGCAGTTACTTTTTCACACGGGGCCAGGTAGATTTAGAAAGCTATTCTCCTTTAATACATTAAACCATCATTTAAAAATCTGTTTTTGTATTTACTCAGGTTAACTTTGTGTAATAGCAAATGTGTGTGATGAACCGAAACAAATGTGCAAAAAAGAAAAGAGAAATCAGGAAAGGGGCAAATACTTTCACAACACCATGCACCATTTTAAAGGACGCAATCGAGAAAATAAGACTATTTATCTCCCTCTCCCACCCAACCATCTAAATGGCATTTAACATGTGCAGTGGCCACGCTCAAAACAAAATATTCTCATTAAAGTCCAAGTATAATTACAACATTGTAGCAATAAAGATGTCTGTGTAGAAATGAATGCTTTGGGGGTGTGAAGGTTGAATTTCTGCATGTACCACTGTAGATGATGCAGTATCAACAAGCCACGGAGCTCTGTGTCTGTTTCCCCTTACAGCCTGGGGTTACAGAGGGGGGCGTGGTGCTCTACCAAAACAACACTTACCCTATAATGGCGGGCGGTTTTTATATTGTTATGACAGCACACATGTAACGCCAGGACATACACAGCTCCCAAGGAAAATAAATACTTGCACGCGCAGGGATGTCATTGATTAACGAGTCTCAACTATAACGCTGTGACAAATGACAGCTCGTTTTTATAAGCGTTTTTAAGATGCCGTTATTTATTAATTTGTTTATCTTTTAACTGTACTGGGTCAGTGGTTAACGTATATAAACAAGGGTGGATATGTTTAGTCAATGCGACGTTAATATGTTAAAAAAAATTACCGCAGGACGAGCGCGGCTGGTTGAGATAACGGCCAGGTCGCGCGACTATACTGCTCTGGAACGCGGCTCCAGTAGAGCTCGAGGGTTCACAAGCGGGTGAACAAGCGACGGAAAGCTGGCAGCCATACTCCGCAGAGACTCCATCGATTAAAACTGCTGCGCTTTCACACGCTCCAAACTCGACGCGAACACGTTCCCGAGCGACCAAATATCAATTAATGCAACGCTCGAGGATTTTTTTTCGGGCATCTTGCACGACGTTAAGGGGCGCCCTTTTCAACAGCAGCCATTCCGAAAAACGGGACCGTTTACAGGCAGATGAGAAAGCAGAGAAACTGTACACTCCGGGGCACATGTTCGTATCCCGAGCGGCTAGCCAAGTCACTATAAAAGGGCAGAACTCTAGCCTGCTTATAATAAACACAAAGTTTATTAATGCCACTAACTAACTCACAAAATAGATGAAAACATAATGGCTTACCTTTTGGTGGCAACGTGACATCTCCATTTTCTTTCTTCGCTGCAGAAATGTTATTAAATTTACCGACGTCGTTATTAACAGTAGTCCCAGATCCGGAGGTCAACAACAGTTTATGTTTCTTTTTCTCCTCTCCGCCTCCTTTCCCCTTTTCCCTCTCTTTCTCTCGCTGTTTATCCTTACTTAGTTTCTTGGATTTGGAGGAAGAAGGTGCCTTATGGAGGAAGAAATCGCTCTGTTTAAAGACTTTGCGATGGGTTATCGGTGTCTGGGACCCACCAGTAGCACCCACCGGAGACGGGTTGTTGTTGCTGCTGCTGCTGGTGGCCGTCTTAACCGGACTACAGCTCCACAAGCCCGAGCTGCTGCCATAACTCTGCAGCTTCGTGTGCTGCTGGAGTTTCTCTTTACCGCTACCGTTGCCTCCCACTCCTCCGTCCCTGTTGAGTTTCTTGGGTTTAACGCTCCTCTCTTCGACTCGGACCTTCTTGGGCGGCGGCGGCTGGTTGAAATCACGGGAAGACTGGGAGTGGTTATCAAGGGTTCCTTTCGCCTCGGTCGGCTTGCCGAGCGCGCTTTGAACGGAGGCTACAGTAGGAGTAGTAGCAAGAGAGGCAGCTCCAGAGAGGTGAATACTGCCCTGCGAGTCAGCCATCTTGAGGCTTCTCTCTCTATTTACTCTCTTCCCCCAACGGCAGCCGATGCTGCTTTTTTTTCCGCGACGTTCAGACAGGCGATGAAGGGGCGGGGCCGAACTTGAATTGACAGCCAGGCAGCGAGGAGGCGGGACTCAGGCTCGACTGACAGGTAGCGAGGGAAAAAAAATAGAGGCGGGGCTTAAGTATCTGTGCCTTAGCAGCATGTGTTGTATTTTACGTACGATCTATGGCATTTTGTGTTTATGAAACAAGGAAAGGTGTAGATTTTAACTATGAGGAGCCAAATATTTCTAAAGCTCAACAACTTTTTGAGTACTGAAATGCAGCCCTTAGATTTTTAAGATTAAATTTAAATCATATGCCAACTTTCATTGCTCCAAATCGCAACAAAGTTATATTTTAAAGGTAGAGATCCTACAGCATTATGGACCAAAACCATACAATCCAACAGTTTTCTCTTGCATAATATTTGGGGACAGTCCCAAAGCAAAACTTACAAATACGTTCAAATAAGACGTATGTTTGCATGCTTAATGTCTGTGGCTGACCTGATCATTTGAACACTACCGCTAAACCTCAGGTATGAGGGTGTTTTAAACTGTGGACCTTGTTTCTGAAAAACAAACAAACAAAAAGAATCAGTAATTTAAAAAAAACTTGCCATCCCTAAGTAAAAATTTAATTTTCAGTGATATTAAGTCACTTTGAAGTTTTCAGACATGTCATTAAAAAGACTGCATTAATCCAACATCTTAAAAGGTCCTGCACAGACTTCACTGTAGTCTATGTGCTTATATTTTGGCAGAATGGCCATAAGCTGACTGGCAGAACTTGTGGGGAAGTGTACAGTAAGTGTTGACAGTGTAGGACTGCACATGCGACTGCTCCCATTAAAGAGATAAATATGCCCTCTTTAATCTTTACAACTGAATGCGCTTATCACTCTCCCTCGCACAACACATCATTAGACCGTGTCATGAATCCTCTGGCGTTGTTTACACTTTGATTTACTGAGATGAAAACATTTTCTTCAATCAGACTGGCAGAGTTCTCAGTACAAGGCCTGTCAGCGTGTGACAATCAACCATGAATAGCAAACATGATTAGCAGCTGCACGAGGGGAATTGTAAAGTTACAGCTGGTTATAAATATTGTGACAAGATTATTGCATGATGCAAGTCACGAGCAGAGATTTGATGTCTGTGCATGCAGTGACAGAAGAGATGTGTGTAAGCATGTGCTGAGTCCAGCATCGACTTTATGTGACTCATATAGCTACAGTAAATCTGTATTTTAATATTACAGGCTTTAAAAGAGAGCTGACACAGTTTCTTCTGTGCAGCCTGCTGCTCACATATCCAACACTGACTGGCTATATTTATAAGCCATTACATAACATGTTAAACTGCTCATTGGGAAAACTGAGGTGACCCAGTTAAGACAGCAACCTGGCTTAATATTAATACTCAGAGAAACAGAGAGAAAGAAGGGTGCATGGTGCATTCATACTGTGTTAGTGTGCAGCCGAGAGGAAAACTTTGCAGATAATCAGGTGGTAGTAGAAAGTGTGCATAAAGTAAATAAGCACTGGGGGTGAGAGGCATGTGCACTTTATTATGCTGTGTATACAAATATCGTGCACGTGAGCCACAAACATTTAAAAAGGGTCAAGGACGTACTTGTATGCTGTGCTGTGTAATCTTTTCAAAGTAACTTTTTAAATATGTGAATGGAAGTCAAGGTGGAACCGAAAGCTACTTGTTTATTTACATTTCTATTCTATGAAAATATACAGGAAACATCCTCATGCATGAGCTATACTCACCAGCCACTTTATTGGATACACCTTGTATCAGGTTGGACTCCTTTTGACCTCCAGTCCTGCCTTCATGGCATAGATTCAACAAGTTTCTTGAAACGATCCTCTGAGATTTTAGTCCACATTGATGTTGCTGCATATTTGTCATCTGCACATTCATGATGTTAATCTCTGGTTTCATCAAATCCTAAAGATGCTCTACTGGGTTGAAATCTGGTCACTGTGGAGGCCATTTCAGTGCAGTGAACTCCAGAGATGTTTCGAGGTTTGTGACATGATGTGTTAACCTGCTGGAAGAAGGATGGCTACACTGTGGTTATAAAGGGATGGATGTGGTTAAAGGATGCTCCATTGACACTAAAGGGCTACAATTGAACCCCCACCACCATTCTGAAGTGATGGCAGGATGGATCCACGAGTTTCTGTTGTTTATTCAAAACTCTGCCCAAGCAGCTCGAATGCTGCACTTGTTACCTGTCACCTTTAAAGGTGGTCAGCCAAGTAGAAGCTCCAGAGGTCCAGATGCCTTCACACAAGCTCTCAAGACTACCATGACCTGAATTACTGAATCTATATGGACTTCTACATATTTTGGTCGTAATGAGTGGTTATTTGAGCTGCTGTTGCCTTCCCAGCAGTGCATTGAGTTACTGCCATGTAACTGGTTGATTAGATATGCATTAACAAGCAGATGTACAGGTATAAAAGCAGCTGTGAGTATCACACAGCTACAAGGGTTTCATGTACTGCATGTGGATCAATGTAAAGTGTTTTTAACCCTAACCCAGGATGACTAGAAAAACCCATCAGTGCCTGAACCACGGAAGTTGTACTGTCCATGATTGCATAATTAATTTGAAATGAGCATTGACTACCTGTGAGCACCAGCGAATAATTATAGTACGAGTGCCCTCCTGCTGTGCTTCTCTGTGTGTAAAGTGAATACAAATGCAAAGCCCTCACGGTCTCTGAGAAAGCCAGTGTGTGTTTATGACCCCTGCTGTGATTAATTGTCATATTAGTCTGTGTGCGTGCTTGAGTGAATACAGTCGTCTTGGCAGCTCCACAAGGTGTGTGAGCATTTCCTGCTGTGACAGCGTACACACAGACACACAAAACTCACACTGACTGAAAGTTCACGAGTTCATTTTGAAGTCAGTCACGTCTGAAAACATCAGATTACAAGTCAGCAGGCGACTAAGTCAAAGTGATGCATTAACCATTTGACTGGTCTATAGTATAAAATAATGCTTCCTGCTGAGACGCACACATTCAAACTCACAATTATTCAGGAATATTTACATGAATGAAGGCGAAAGAGGCACATCTTTACTTAAGGTCATTTTTACTGATTGATTTCTGCAACATACAAACGTGTGTGTGTGTGTGTGACAGGATGGGGCTGAGGGGGCGTGGCTGAATGAGAGTCCCACAGGAGGCGATGAGCAAGCAGCAGCGAATCACATCGCTTATGGTCATGCCGCTAATGATGATTGGAGGGCAGAGGGAAAGGGTGAGTGCGGGCAGGCGGGCTCTCTCTTAAAGGCACAGGTGGGCTCTTTACTGAGATCGAGGCGTGTGCATGAGAGTGTGTGTGTGTGGGGAGTGGAAGTAAACAGAAAAATGAGGACAACGAATTATAAGAGAATCAATAAAGTTAAAGACAGTCTCTTCTGTTGTGCGTGGGCATACAGATGTGTTGGAAATGACAGCCTTTCTCAAAAAAAATGGGAAAAGGCAGAAAGGAGGGCAGGAGTGGGCGAAGATTAAAGAAGCAAAAACAAAATGGGAAGTAAGTAGGAAACAACAGATGCTCCTTGTAGAGGACAGGACATTCATCTCAGTTGCGCCTTTTAAAAAAAGAAAAAAAAAAAGTTCAAAAAGAATAAGAAATGATGGAGAGGAGAGTAAGTGAGAAACGTTGATGTTTGGGTGGGGAGGGGGGGCAGTGGACTTGTGTCACAACAAACAACTGCATATACAAAAATAACTTTTCAAATACCATTTACAAAAACAAACAACCAATATTATCATCATTATTAATATTATTATTACAATCTTGTTCAGAGCCCGTTGTAGTTCTCTCAAAGAGGGCTGGGCTGGCAACCTCTGCTTTTCCTCTGCCAACCAATTAAAACTTTGTTTTTAATCTAAGCATATAATTCCAAAAAAAACAAAGAAGAAAAAACAAAAACCAAACCCCTGAAATATTTGCCAGAAGCAAAAACAAGAGGGTAGCAGAATAATTTACAGTTTAAAGAAAAACATTGTGTAGAGGGAGGATTCATCATCATGCACTGATTTTCTTACATCTTCTGTTAATAGGAACATTTAGGAGATAGAAAAAAAGGAAATCTGAAGTATTTTATATCTAAACTGTCCTGTACAGCTCTTTATAAAACAATGCATATACTGTATAGTTATGGCAGCTAATGAAAGAGAACAAAAAAAGAAGGAAAAAAAAAGAAGAAGAAGAAAAAAAAAAAGGAGTAAACAGTAGTAGTCCTGGGTCCCTGGCTGCTGTTGTCCTATTGGATCATTGTCTCAGAAGCAGGTAAAGAACAACACGCCGTCAGATGAGAAACCAAACAAGTCTGACTTATAGAGAAGGCTTGGAGGTTTAATTTCAATCTGTCGAGTCAAAGGTTCAAGCGTTTCAGGCGATGTGTAACATTCAGACTCCGAAACACCGGGGTTTGTCGTGAGCAAACTGGCAGCTGAAAGGAAAGAAACTTTCATGGTCGATCAGCTGAGGTTTGGCAGAAGGAAAGAAACCCGACAGAAGAACAGCAAATAAACGGAAGAAATATGAGTCCCGAGCAGACGAGCCAGAAACACCGAAAGAAGAAAAGAGCAAATAAAGGAGGGCTGCCATCAGCTGTCTTCTCTGAAAGGTGGACTAAGGCAGGCTCATGGTCCCAGTTGTGAGAGTCAGAGTCACAGAGCTAACAAGTTCGGCTTTTTCTGTGTTTAATGTCATTTTATCTCAAACGTGGGTAGCTTAGAAAGAAAAATTCTCCAATTCATTAATTTAAGGTGGGACTGTACTCTTTGGTTCAGCTGCTTGGAGCTCACACATATATACTACACTTTACACAAATTCATTGGCTTTAATCTTACCGTTTTTGCTTTCAGACTATAGACTGTATATAGAAGATGTAACCACCACCTGTTTTTGATTTCTGTTTTTAAAACCTCAACTTTTCTTTTTCTTTTTTTTGACAGGTCATATGATCCGTAAGTGCTTAGTATTAGATTAATAAAATGCTAGAATTTCACTCACTGACACTGAAGCACAAACTTCTTTGATATGTCTGTGCAACAAGTCAGATACAAAAATGCCCCATAAATCACCAGCATCGCAAAAATGCTTCCTGTTTGGGTAAACCTGTCAATCAAAACAACGCCCCCCCCACCCCAGCTTTAAGCCTCACCAGTACCCATGTGAATAAGTAATGTAAAAATCCACCCACCATATTTTTTATATAAAGAGGCAAATAAGTTATAGAGCCCAAAAAAATGCTGGAAATTCAGAGATTTTAATATGGGACTATGGACTCTATGAAGCCTCAAGTGGCCACTACAGAAACTGCAGTTTTTGCTAGTTCGTTCTCATTTTTTTTATTTTTTTTATTTATTTATTTTTTAAAGCTCAGTTAGTTGCCACTGAGACATTGACACAACTATTACTGCCCGCTGCCATAAAATCACCAGCTGCACTTTAATGAACACCACAATGGCCAAACTTTGTTAACCTGTCACTCTGGCAGAGAAGCATGGACGTGTAAAATGGCAGAGCTAACAGCAGTGAGAAACGGGTAACAGTGAGCTCTAGCGCTTTCGTTTCCGTGACGATCCTTTGTAATGTAGCACCAGCACTTTGAAACAGGGAGAGAGAGACAAAGAGAGAGCACCCTGGCAACCTGTGCATACCCAACAGAAATGGGTAACAGATTATCGAAGTTCGCTTTCAAGATTGTTGTTCGTTCAGTAGGAGGCAACAGACAACTTCTGGGAGTTCAGCCTCCCACAGTAGTTTTTCTAATTTAAGGTAATTCCTGATATAGGAGGAAAAAAAATTCTCATTTGGCTTTAAACAAAGCGCTCAGCCTGAACACTTATTATTTATATTTGACATGTAACAGCCTTAAAAGTGAGGTGTCTACAGCTCATGGAGGAAAAACATGCCCGCTCTTAGTCTTCTCTCCAGTCACCCCCCCCCCCCAAAAAAAAAAAAAAAAAAACAAAGGTGAGAAAAACCCCCCACAGGAATTATCCTTTATTAAAACAGGGAAATAACTGATCCCAGGTCAGCATCTAGAGTAGTCAAACCTGCCAACATCAGCAAGCTGAGGAGGAGAACATTCTAGCCTCTTGACTGTCCCTGCTCGGCACAGTGGCACTTTGCAGGGAGGACTGAGGAGGAGGAGGAGGAAGAGGAGGGTACTGGCAAACAGTCACTCAGAAGGTTTTTCTATGAAATGCGTAGCATCTATCATCTTGGTTTTTGGACCAGCCAGGTGAGGTTGGTAGACCCCATCTCCTGACAAGGGAGGACAGTGGTGGTGGACGGGCAGCTGGACTGTTCCATCATGTCCACTCCAGGGGGGGTCGTCGAGGACCTTTGGGCTGAATGCAGCGGTTACCGAACCCTGGAAGGAGAAAATGTCTTAGCTCAGTTTGTTTTACCTCAACACCAGAGGGAAAACCTGCCTGTTCTCAAGAATCATCAAACGTTTTCTGCACATGTAGGCCAAAGCGAGCTTTCTGATCAGCAAAATCAGTGGCACAAATCAAAAAATGATGACCTTAATAGAAACCATGTTTGTCAGCAATATTTCCTGCACAGATTCACCATTTATGTTCCTTCAAAGGCTCAACTAGTAGAGACTTGAACAACAACAGTATCCAATCACAATTACAAAATAAAAGTCGTCTACAACAAATGAGACAGTAGACTTACCCACCCAGCTCTGGCTTGCTGTTGTTGCTTGTTGTGGTGCCAGCAGATGGAAGGTCGGCTGGAGAGGTCGTCGCACAGTCAGACGCATCTACACATAATCAAATGCAACAAGAAAGACAGATTAATGGGGTGGAAGTATTCTTGAAATAACAGTGGTGTATATGCTACTCATAATTCAAGTCAATTACATTATAAAGCAGATTTTAAAATGAGTTCGTTAGAGTGATATAGGATCATGTGAGAAAATATAAAAAAAACATGAAGTCAAGAAGACAGAAAACATGCTTAACAAGACAGTACAGGATAAACATACAAGACTCTTAAAATAACTGAAAACAAAATGAATTACAGTGAAACCTTAAATGTTAAAATAGTGTAATCATTAAAAACTACCAACAGCTGTAGAAAGCGTATGTAACAAGTAGATATATGATAGCTTACAGCATTTATTGTTCAAGTCAAAAGTATACTAGTCAAAATAAAGAAACTCAAGTTTTGTGTTTTAAATAGATTTTAGTTTAAAAAAAAATTTTTTTATTTTTTTTTTTTAGGAGATATGGCATCTGGACGTGATTCAAGCAGTCACTTGTCTGCTCACGGACCACACAAGTATTTTGATTTGCTGTTGAGGAGCTGCTCTCCATTCCTGAATGAGTGCAGCCACCTGCTGTGCAAAGATCATTGATTGTGGATGCCTCTCATGAACACATTAACCCAGCATCCAAACACTTGTATTGTATGTTCTGAGACCACCGGCTTGAGAATACAGAAAATTTAACAAACACTACAAGAGAGGTTATTTGTATCTGGTAAACAATCATGACCAACAAAAGTAAATGCAGTAAGAAGATGTTGTGTTCTGGTCTAGTGGAGAATCTACATTATTGTTACAGCTAGCTGCTAGCCCATTATAACCGTTTGTGCACTTTGCACATCTGTGGTACCCAGCTGTATCCCAGAATGCAAAGCACACCTGACCACATGAAGGACTTAGCTCAAACCTGCAGCATACACGTAGATGCAGTTTGCTCGGATTGCGTTCACACCACAAACAAAGTGCTCTGGCGTTCTGAGACCACCTCAGGGTCTCGGTGGGGTTGCTTTGGTATGCACCCGAGTCTGAATACTGCGTTCACACCTGCACACCAAGAGGGGGAGGGACCGAACCAGAGAATAATTTAAACACACCAAATACCACAGGTGCAAAAAACAGCCTACCAGGTTAAAATGTTGTAGAGAGAAATAGATTTAAGACAAAGACAAACACACAAAAATGTGTGTTTTTTTTGACGAGGGCTTTAAATGTTTATGTATCAACACGTCCCACGAGACAACATCTGGTTCACTAGGTAGTGTTACATCTGTGCAAAAATTCAAACATTTCTCTCCCATGAAAGTTTGATGCTAAAAGCCCGGCTTGCAACGCAGCCTTTTTATACTTAAGAAATGCTCCTAGTGAGTTATACTCATAAAAAGGTAAAAAAAAAAATATATCCCCACTGAATTAAAGTCAAATAAGCTGTCATAGCCACAGTAAAACTACTGAAGCAATAAATTGGCATTAACCATCATCACACAATCCTCATAGCACAGATAAGCATATGCACTCATTATAATTGCAGCTCTCTCTAGACATGTTTTATCTTTTTCACTCCCTTTTCCCCCTCCTCCTGTATCTCTGTTACTCTCTCATCCTCGCAGCGGTTTTTCTGACCAACGCTGTCAGTGTTATCATCGGCAGGCTAATTTGTAAATCACCAAAGGTCCCTTTCCTGCTCCGCTCTGCTGGCCAACTACTGTGAGCACACAAAAAAATATCGGGGAACATGCAGAGAGGCAGGGACGGAGAGTTCAAACAGAGGTGAGAGATGAAGAGAATTAGTGGACTAATGATTTGTGCGTTCGCACCTTTATGTGAACTCCACTCGGCTGAAGCTGATGTTTTCGCTTCCAAAGGGTCTGGCGGAGAGGAAGACAATCGGTGAATTTAACACAGGATGGGCGTTTGAGGACAAATGATCAAAAGACACACAATACAGCACAAATGCACACGCATTCCCACATTCAGACACGCTTAAAAATCACAGTCAATCCTCAAAAAGGTGCTCCCAAGTTGTGCCTGCATTTATGTAAAACATTTGAAATAATTAATTGAACCATAATGATCCGGGCGCACACAGCGGACAGCCTCTTAAACTGCTTTCTTTAAATTAACCTCATCTTTCTGCCCTCTTGTATCCATGTTTCTATTTGTAACTCGCTTCCCAAAGCTGTAACTATGACCGTCTCCATCTCTGCATGGCTGAAATAAGCAATGCTGACCTCTAGTGTTTCAAAACTGCCAAAGTACCTCTCAGCAGTGGTTTAATTCTTAACACAAACACCTCCTTTTCATCTCATGTGCTCCCTCGTGGCGGAATATTTTTAATACTGTTTTCTTCCACTATCAGAGGAGCTGTGCAGGGAGGAAGGAAAAAAAGAAGAAGAACAGCAGAAGGCAGCAGGATGGTCGCGCTAATGGCGAGTCAATCCTGTGAACGAGAGGCCTCCTACCTGCAATATGCGAGTCCATCTGGTTGTTTGAAGTGAGGATGACAGAGACTGAGGCCCCTACCTGTTCATACGCTGCACTAGGCAAGAGAAGCAGAACACAGAAAACCAGTTTCCTCCTGTTTCAGCTCACATCAGAGGCTGCCGACTGCATCAAACAACCACTGTTGCCTGGCTTTACTCTCACTACCAAGTTCGCGAAAATATGGCTAAACCACACAGCAGCACATGAATCTTTGATCCAACTGCCTCTTCCCCCCCCTTTTGTTAAAAGAAGGACAACACAATAACGTGGCCGCCCAGTCAATCCACACCACTTGGTACACACCTGTGGAACTTGACCAATGCAAACGCACCTGTGGCCAGTATGAAGGACTCAGGGGTTCGCTCGGGGAGAGGGGGAGGGGAGTCGTCGCTGTCCCAGCAGTCTGGGTTAAAAAGGTCAGAGGTCAAATGAGAAGCAAGGTTAACTACTGGCCGAGAAGAAAGGCAAAAAGATCGGCAGTCATATGGAGACAAAAAGGCAAGAATGTTAAATGTTATATAATTTGTCTGCATATTGTTACTTTTTTATACAGATATTCACTGGTTCTATTTGGTGTATATCGTGTTATCATTACTTCATTTTAGGGATCAGAGAAATGTCCGTATAGTCTCATGTTTGCCATGCTGGCTGCCACTGGACTACTGGCAGATAAGATGACATTGACCCTTAGTAGTGTCGCTTAGTGATGTGCTCATTTTGTCCTTAAAAGATCTGGGATCCAGTTTTTGTTCAGCAAAGTTACATTTGTGCTTAAAGATTTTAAAACCGTTAATAATCTGTTAATTTCTCTGTCTGGCAAGAAACAATGAATAAATGAAAATAAAAACAATATCCACAATGGCCAATCTGTTATTTTTAGCGATGTTTTCAGTTTGTGGAACCGCCACACTTAAGTCATAGCTACAGTTTCTTAAAAATCTCTTCTTCAAAATTCAGCATCATCATTACCCGGTTATAGTTAAGTTAGTGTGACATATGAAGGGGAAAATATGACACTTTAAAGTTTGGCTGGTTAAGATACTTCTGCTTTACACAAAGCCAGCAGTTATCCTTGCTATGAATTATAAATTAAACCCTTCTCATATGCCAACCAAGAAAGTTAAAAAAGAAATCAGCTGACTTTCTTGGTTAGCAAAAAGAGTCAAAGTCAAAATCTTAAGTTAAATATTAGGTGATGTCCCCTTCATCTAATATTCCACCATCTGGCCAAGGCCCACTGCCTTTCTGTGGATACTCCGGATGCTCGAGCTTCCTCCCAGAGTCCAAAGACATGCAATTAGTGTGATTAGGTTAACTGGTGATTCTAAATTGCCTATAGGTAGGGCTGTTCGATATAACGATATATATCGGATGACGATGTAAAAACGTCTATCGTTTCATTTTACGCTATCGTTTGTTTCGTGGTGTCGTAAAATAAACCGTTTACAGCAATATTTTTTCATCGTTTTGATGGTCACTGTAGTGGCTATATTCATTTCTTAAAGTTCTCTCTTTCTCTTATATTTAAAATAACCACACTACTGACGGACAAGCGGCTGTTTTTATGCGTTGTGGTTAGCAACAACAACGGTAAAACCATCGCGTGTCCGCTTGTTTATTTTCCACACAAACCTTTCACAATAAAGCTCAAGATCCTGTTGAGACTTTTCAAAATAAACTGAATCACGTGAAAGAGCAGATTATTTACGGATGAGAAGTAAAAAAGAGCCGCCAGGTGCTAAAAAATAAACCTTAGACTCAAACGTTAGAGCAGGCTTTTCCCCGCAGCTCGCCGTGTAATAAATACTCACAAAGAAAACGGCGGCCGTTACAACTTATGTCTAAAAATGTATTGTTTCATGCATCGGTTAAAATACTCGACTCCAGGTACACGACGCGCAGCTGTAAACACTTCACGCAAGTCGAGCTGCCTGAGATTCACAGAATTTACATAAAATGTTACAATTTTGTGATTTATATGTTATCAGATGATAGATGTATTATATCGGGATATGAGATTTTGGTCATATCGCACAGCCCTACCTATAGGTGTGAATGTGAGTGCAAATGGTTTGTCTCTCTGTGTTAACCCTGCATCCCTGCAGGTGACCTGTCTAAATTTTAAAAAAATCCCAAATGTTGTCTGAAGGTTTTTAGGTGTAGATGGGACACAACACCACCTCAGCATAAACTGTATGCTCTGGTAAATGTCATCTTGTTTGCAGACAGTCCAATCACAATCAAAAACGCAAAAGCTTAAGAAATGTATTAGACCACCTGTGTTAAAAACAAGAAAAACATTTTGTATTAGAAATGGATCAAAAACTGATTTTTTCTGTAAACTGTACATATAAAAACTCATGAATAACGTGATAATTATATTTCAGAATTAAAAACACTGTTTTGATTATTTTTATAAGTATAAACTAAAACATTAGCTGTATATATTTGATCCCTCCATAATTTCCTGCTCATTTTGCTTAATTCTTCTTTGTTTGCTACAGGCTTGTAAAGCACTGTGAGCTGCACTAATCTCTCTAAAATGGGCAATTACAAAAGGTGTGAGTGATTCATTGGCAATGCAGTCAGCAAAACAGGCAGCCACCAGCTTTCTATTGACCAACCACAAAGCAGCAATTTGCTCAGTGCAACTCCTCAACAAAGCAGCCATTAGATGCTTGCAACCAATCAAACAGCAGCTGTTAGCTTTTCATAACTGAAGCACTGCTGCAGCCCAGACAGAGTGTGAGAGAAAGCCAAGCAGACTGAAACAGTCGACGTCAAAACAGACACATTTTCACATCCGATTTTAAATATTGGAAATACTCGAGGAGAGCGTGACATCAGTTATAATGCCAGAGATTCAATGGCATGTCAGTATATTTTGAATTTAAACTGCACAGACGATTTAAGCCCAGTCCACTCAATTTCACGTGAGCTCAGATCAAAGAAAGAAGAGCAGCAGAAGTCTCAGTCCTCACACCCCACCAGGAGATTAAAACCCACTTCTCCTTGTCACAATCACATCAATCCCAAACAGCGTGACACTGTCTGTTTGACCCAACGTGCACCAAAGTGGTGTAAGTGCATTCATCAGTATCATGCAGTGTTGATCTTTCCCCATCCAACATGCACACAGTTTTCTCGCCAACACACAAAACAATTTCTTTCATCCTTTCTCCCATTCACAAATTCCCTCACTTAGACAAACACACATAAACAAGCCGAAGGAGGAAGAGTTGTTTCCACACATGTCCATATTTGCAGCATTCCTCCCAAACCAACCAATTAGTCAAACAGTCATGCTTTGTGTGAGACTCACTGGAAACTATCTCTCTCCGATTTTGTTGTCATTTCCTCTTATTCCTTTCTTCCATTCCTCCTGTTTTGCCCTCTCCTGGCCTCTAACTCCTCAGCAGTGAGAACACAGTGTGTGTGTTGACAGATATAGCTTGTCATTAGATTGTTGTTTGAGACCTCTGGCTCCTTACCGACCCAGAAAATTACTCTACAGTGTGATTTTTTTTATTTCCTGAGTGTACAGTAGTTGAGTGCAAGCTTACTTGGTGCCTTCATGTGCATTTCAGGGAGATTGTTCTTGACTATTTGCCTGCTAAACCTCATTGTTTAGTTTTCATAATTTCTTAATTAATTTCACATATTTTAAAGAATTGAGAAGGAAAGCAGTTCAAGCAACTGATCGACCTACTTGCTAAGGATGGAGAGACCGTTGGTGTGATCTGCCCTGCAATTGACATCGGCGACACCTTTCTGACCGGCTGCTGGTCTCCATGTTGAGAGGATGCCGTTACGGTGGCAGTCGCTGTGGATACGCTTGTACGAAAAGCTTCCTTTCCTCCTCCGGACATCTCCTCGGACACCTTCCCCTCCTCGTCCGAGTTGTCAGAGTGCAGGGGGTTGGTGAAACTCAGGGCAGTCCTAACAGGTGTGGAGGAGGAGGAGGAAGAGGAGAGGTGGGAGGAGGAGGATGAGGATGGAGCCACACGGTCTGAGGAGGAAGAAGAGGAGGTGGTCTTGGGGTACTGTTTGTCCGGGCTGTTGCTGTGTTGAGTCCACGCTGCATGGCCGGCTTTCAAATCCCCTCCCTGCTTCTCCACCTTCTCTCCACTCTTCACAGGAAGGTGGTTCGGCCTGGCGAGGCTGCCTCCATCTGCTTGACTCTCTCCACATCCACAAGCTCCTCCCTCTGTGCCAGAGTCCTCTGACAGAGAGGAGCTGGATGTCAGAAGGGACTGACCAGTGCGAGCTTTAAATGCGTGACTTCTTTGCAGTGCGCAGCTGTTGTTACTAGAACTGGAGCCTTGTCCGCCGGCTACTCCCATCGACGAGGAGGTGTCAAAGCTGCGAGGTCCTTCTTGCAGTGGCACCTTTTTAATCTCAATGCTGAGCTTCCTCTCGATTCGAGGAGCACCAGAACAATCAACAGCTGGGGAGAGGGGCGAGGATGGGGTCTGAGTCTGGCTTTGGCCTGATTCTGACTTTGAAGACATTTTGTTGTTGTAGTTGTCATTGAGATCCAGACTTGAGACCTGACTCTGCTGTTTTCGGCTTAGTTGCTCTTGATCTTTCTGCTCTGAGGGACTGGTCTGTTTGTTTGGACTGGGCTCTAGCTGATTCTGCTGCTGGTCTGTGTTCTTATCCTGAAATAAACGTAAAGTAGAACAAATGAGACATGTAATCTCCCCCCCTTCACAAAAAGCAAAACATTCACACGCCACCAGAAATCTTTGATGTTTAAGTTAGAGTTCAGAAAAAGCTGATTAAGCAGGCCCCACGCACAAAAAACAAACATGAGCTGTAGGAGAACAAAACAACCTTATTTATATTCATGCATTTTCATACTTCTGCTGTTATTATAGACTGTGAGCCGGTTGTTTTCCCTTCTAGACTGAAACTTAATTCTTCTGAAATAATAATTTACTACATTTTACTTGCACAAAAACAAAAGAAATCATCATAACAGACACATAGATCATGGAATCAGCTGCAGTTCTTTAGTGATGTTACGGTTTGTTTAGAACATAAATAATGTCAAAAGACAAAAATGCAACTTTTTCCACTGCTAAAAGATAAAGATTTCCTTTTTACAGCATCTCATTTTGATACTTCCTGTAAAGTTACACCTATACCTACATGATGGGAACTTTTCATTGGAACAAAAACAACTTAAACAACTCAACTTGGTAATGAACTTAATTTTCCACTTAAATGTGTAATTACGTGCTCCTAAACCAGGACCACTGTAATAACAGGGAGTACCCATGTCAGAGGGCTAACTCCTACTTTATGGTCTACGTACTGGCTGCGTCCTGCCCCATCTGTGATATCTTCACAACTATGTAACTGATGCCCCGTGAGCATGAACGAGTGGCACAACACACACACACACAAAAAAACCCCAAAGCAAACAAAAGCGATGGATCAACGACAGAAAAAGCTCGAGTAGCCCACAGACAGGATGTACCACATATTTTTAACACTGCCCCTCTATCAGCCGTCCCTGCAAGTATATGGACATCTATAGCTGCCAACAGACTGCCCACGCACTATCGTTGCTAAATCACAGCTTCCCCATCATTCAGTCTAGGAAATTCCATAACCATTAGCTGACTTAATATATAACAGGTTTTACCAGACCAATTACTATTCTTATATCCGTGCAACTTCCCATGTACAATAAAAACCCTTTAGATACATTCCATGTAGTTCTATACACAATAGTATCCTATAAGTTGCCAATTTTTAGTTTATGTCCAGCTCACCTCTGTCACGTTGTGCTGCGCAGTAGCGAGGACATGGATGACGGGTTTGGGATGGTAGCGGTCATTGTCCTGTCGCACGTTCGTGACAGTCGGGAAGGCTGACGGAGGAGATGGGGTCAGAATGGGTGGTACGGGGTGAGCCTCTGGGGGTTGGAGGATCTCTTCCTTTACGTCGCCTTCAACCTGCGTACTAGACCGAGAGAAAGAGAGGGAGAGGAAAAAAAGAAAAGCCCACAAGAGTTTGTTACTGAATAAATATTACAGTTGACAGTGAGAGTGACAGGCTTTTGATGATCTTTAATGAGACATTCCTGCAGAGGCCAAAATTCATAAAAATTATTTTTTTACTGTTAAACTAAACCCTGGATTTTCTAGCCTGGATAAAAAGTTAAAGTTTTGTGCTGCGGGTAAGAAAATCAAAATGATGCAATGGCAAGAAATTCATCCTGCTGATCAGGAAACGCCCAGAAATTCTGACATCCTAAGAAGGGCGAATTACAAGACTTATATGACGAAATTAACTTTTAATCTCATGTACGTATAAAACTAAAAGTAGGTCTGTGCTATGTTTTGTTCACCACTAGATGGCAGAATTTGAAAAAAAGTCTATACTTTTAGCCTTGTAGAGACAAATTCCATTTCTTATGTGATATTTTAAGACTTCTGCTCTCACCCATATTATGTGGCTTTAACAGTGACATAACCTGCCAATGTGACAAAGTGAAAACGGATCAGTGCTAAAGAGTTTCATTTCTCAAAATATAAATGGTGCTGTAACCAACAGTCTAAGACAGCTTTCTTCTTAAAGTATCGAAAGTATTTTATTCTCTTCCGTGCAGCTTCCTCAGAGCACAGAAGCAGAAAAAGCCAAGTGTCAGTAACATGACAGCATCTATGGCTATTCAAGATAAGTTGTGAATGATTACTTCACCGTCCCACATAACTTTACCACATGTACAGTATTTTAGTAATGTAGCCTACTAATAAATAGTTCTGTAAAGCTCGCAGTGTAGGTGTGTGAGTTGCATACAGGATACAGTGGTTATGACAAAGCTAGCCACAGAGAGATGGAAAGTGACACAAGCAAATATTGTTCAATACATTTATATGCTGTACGCATGCAAAAAATATAGATACAGAAAAGCAGTCAAAGGAAGTGGTGGTGTACCAATTTAGGAGCACATGACCAAGACAAGAGCCAGCATACAGGCTGACAGCACATGATGCTGTGTGTGGATCAGAGGCAGGCAGACACAAAGTCAGACACTGAAGTCGCAAGCTAGAAGCTCGGGGGATTTCCTTTCATTGAGCAACTTTGGAGTTGCAGTCAAACCATAAAAGCCTTCCTCATTAAGCCTCAGAATTGCAGCACAGAAGACGTTCTTCTTTCACAGAGGCTTAGATCTGCCGTGTGTATTCTTGTTTACTTGCTCTTCCAGACAAACATTTGTTCACATTTTTTAATAACAACAGGCTAGGATGCACACTAGATTAAAGAGCCCAGCTGATAATGGATTCTTAAGGCCGGTGCAGTTTTGATGTTCTCCAGAAATGTACACTTCCCAACCCAAAGAGTCTCACACACTAGTATTTCAGTGGACTGCCTTTAGCTGTGATGTGGCATTGTTTCAACAAACTTAGGGAGTGTTAGAGGATTTGGACCACTGTGTAAAGTCTTTTGCAGCACATCCCAAAGGATTCTCAGACGGGTTCAGTTCTGAACTCTGATGATCGATTCATGTGCAGAAATTATGTCTCATGTTCCCATGTGAACCCAATGAATCCTGGCATTGTCATCTTGGCCTATGCCCGTACTACCAAAACAAGACAAGAAAACAAACAAACAAAAAAAAAACACTGATGCAAAATGTAAGCAGTGTATTCAAATAATCAGCTGACCAATAGAAGCAACCCAAGAATCATAAAACTGACCTCACAACCTCAGTAGGCACTAGGCACGCCCGTGATGTGCGTCTAGAATCCATGCTTTACATTGCCAAGCAAACTGACAGCTACACAGCTGTTTAGTCCCAATCTCTTGGGTTCTCTTCACATTTTGCATTTAGAAATGATCTTATTTTCACTAATAAACATAGTAATACTAAACACAGTAATCTCAAACCACTTTCCTTATAGATTTATTCCTGACCACACCTGACACTTTAATTGAACACTTCATAACGTAGCATCAGTAGTTTCTGCTTCTTTTGCTTGATGCAAAATAATGTAACCTTTCTGAAACATCTTTTCCACGATCCCGGGACATGTCTTCTGACATGTTTTAAGCAATTATCCATTGGAAGACTGTTTGCATTTGCTTCCTTAAATTAAGTAGCCTTTTTGGCTAAATTGTGTATTTCACAAACTAGTTAGAAACTTGGGCTCGTGTCAAAATGACCACATCCACAAAAATATGACTACTTGACATTTCCTAACAAGAAGGCTATGGACATACAAACCTCCAGTATCCCAATATGACGGGCTAATATCAGCTAATAATATAGGCCACTGAATAAAGCCAAACTAAGCTGATTGTATTGTAAAACTAGAACTCGTGTGCATAACTTTTCCTCCAATTCTTGGAAGGGTGGGCTGTTCCAGAACAACAGCATATTTAGCTTTCAGGCTCAACATAACTTAAACTAGACACCACTATCTCTTTGTTTTCTTTAATGAAAACTTTAATTACCCATGAGAATTTCTTCTTCTATGTCATCTTTGTTGCCTGAGCAAGCATGAGATATTTAACAACACAGATTCCCAACTGGATCCGGTTATTTCCATGGGGGATTATAGACATTCGGATGCCACAAAGATTTTTTTTTTTTGGGCCCTATAAGATGAGATGAGATGAAATTTTAATGATTCCTAAGGGGAGGTTGAGCTGTTACAGGAGCAAACACTAATAAGTCACTGAAAAACAAACAAGGCGTAAAGAGAGGAGAATAAAGAAAAAATGAAGCTGCAGGCAACTCAGTGACAACTGCAGCATGTATGACGAAATGTAAACATGTATTACAAAAATATAAGAGTTTAAATCAAATGCAGAAAGTACTAGTACTGCTGCTTTCCTGAGGGATCTAATGATTAAATAAAAAAGCCCAAATTATTCTGTTTAATGATAAAAGATGAAAAAGATCCAAGATTTCTCTTGTTTTGTTCAACAGAAGCAACAACACTTCAATTCAGCTCACTCTAACTTTTGCTAAAAACTGCTAAACCTATCCTGCAACAATGTCAGTATACAAAAAATGTATTAGTGTCATGTTGTCAACCAGCACAATGTCAAAAATCAGTCCTATCATGTTAGGACACTGGTGACACAATCCAGAAGAGTTCATTGTGACTATACCAGGATCTGCCCACAGTGTTCTTCATATTGTGTAGGTAGTAGGGGTGGGGGGGGG